CAAAACGCGAACTGGACAATAAGAAGGGCTGGGTCTGCCTCCTCCGAGGGGAGTGGTAGGAACCTTGGGCACATATCGCGGGCGGGGTCTCAGGACGTGAGAGAAGCCAGCCCAATTACAGGCACGAGTCACTGACCGAAAAATGCCTCCGGGTCCCCGACCCTCTAATCGATATCAACGCGACCAGCAGAGCTGTCTTCAGGGACAGAAAGATACTGAGTCGAGGATCGAAGGGATCTGACGCGGCTTGTGTAGCGAGGGCGAGATCCTAAGAGGGCATGAGAGGGGGCGGGGTGGATTAATTCGCTTAACGCCCCTGAGGAACCGGATGATGAGGTTATGCGTTCCCACGGTGCTGCCAGCCACCGCGTTATGAGAGCGGAGATGGCAGCCACGTAACCTTGAGTGTGGAGGGCGACAGCCTGCTCTCCAACTTCTCTCGGCGTAAAGAAAGCACAACGCTGATCTGGCAAATTACGGGGGTCTTCTCAGCGAGAGACACACCATTCAGTGAATAGACTCCACGTCAGGGCATAGGCGCGCTCGGGGAGGGGGCTCTAGCCCGAGTGACGGTATTAGCCACCGCAATCGGAGGTTACCTAAGTCTTCCTCGCGTCTAAGGACCTCCAAAGATCAGCGAGGGTGCCAGATGGTGCCCTGTCCCTGAGAGAGTAGGTGTTCTCTCGAAGGGACTGCCAGGGGAGGGCTATCGCGAGGGAGAGCTCTGACATCCAGGTCTGGTTGAGCCAGAGGGGCGCAACCAGCAATCTGTTCCTCGTCCTCCCTGACCTTGCACAGTAACTGCGCGAGCAGGCTCACTGGGGGAAACGCGTATTTGCGCGTGCCCCGAGGCCAGCTGTAAGCCAGTGCATCCGTGCCGAGAGCACTCGGTCAGGGAAAGAACAACTGGGAATGAGCGATCTCGGGGGAAGCAACAGATCGATCTGGGCTTCCCCGAATCGCGCCCATATCAGCTGAACAGACTCAGGGTGGAGTCTCCATTCTCCAGGACGCAAGGCTGCCGTGAGAGCGCATCGGCTGCACGGTTGAGCTTGCCTGAATATGAATGGCGTGCAGCGATTTCAGCCGCGGATGACTCCAGAGGAGCAGACGGCGGGCGAGCTGAGACATGCGGCGAGAGCGCATACCCCCTATACGGCTGATATACGCCACCGCCGCCGTACTGTCCGTCCTGACCAGCACGTGTTGCCGCTCCAGCACCGGAAAAAAACGGTGGAGAGCGAGGAACACTGCCAACAGCTCCAGGCGATATGCCAATGCAACTGGGTACCTTTCCACAGGTCCGCAGCCGCATGCCCGCAACGCACAGCCCCCCAGCCCGTGTTGGAAGTGTCTGCTGAAACGACAACAAGACTGGACGCCTGTTCTAGAGACACCCAGGCCTGTAGGAACGAGGGGTCGCTCCAAGGGCTGAGGGCGCGGCGACACAGCGCAGTAACAGAGACTCGGTGTGCGCGCGCGTGCCATGCGCGTCTGGGGACTCGATCGTGAAGCCAGTGCTGAAGTGGTCTCATATAGAATAATCCGAGCGGCATGAAGCGGCTGCGGATGCCATATGCCCCAGGAGCCTCTGAAATAGTTTCAGTGGGACCACTATTTTACTGTCGAGCTCTCTCAGACAGTACAGCATCAGCTGAGCGCGCTCTCCGGAGAGGCGCGCTGCCATGGTGACCGAGTCCAGCTCCAGCCCGAGAGAAGAGATCCTCTGCACGGGGGCGAGTTTGCTCTTTTCTCGGTTGACCTGAAACCCCCACAGGTGGAAGTGCCAGAGCACTTTGTCTCTGTGCATAATCAACTGCTCCGAGAGAGGGCAAAAATCAGCCAGTCGTAAGAAATTGAGTATGCAGATGCCCGCGAGCCGAAGGGGCGCTGAGGCACCCTCCGCGGGCTTGGTGAGGACCCGCGGAGACAGAGAGAGCCCGAAGGGGAGGGCTTTGTATTGCCAAGCTCGACCTTCAAACGCAACCGCAGAAACTGTCGGTGGCGAGGAAGAGTGGAGACATGGAAATACGCGTCCATCAGGTCTAATGCTGCAGACCAACCCAGAGGACGAACGCACCGGAGGATGCGCTTCTGCGTGAGCATTCTGAACGGCAGCTTGTGCAGGCAGCGGTTTGAAACGCGCAGATCTAGGATTGGCCGTGACCCACCGCTCTTTTTGGGCACGATGAAGCGTGGGCTGTAAAACCCGCTCTCCATCTCGGCTGGAGGGAGCGGCTCGATTGCATCCTTCGCCAGGAGGACAGCAATCTTCTCTCGCAAGACAGGGGCGGACAGGGGGCTGACCCTGGTGAATACACACCCGTGACTTGGGGGGCCGTTTCGCGAACTGAATCGCATAGCCGAGTCTGATTGTGCGTATGAGCCACCGCGAAGAGCTGGCCCGCGCTAACCAGGCAGGCAGAGCTCTCGCTAATGGACTCATCGCTACAATCGCTGACGTACCAGCAGTGGGGCAGCGCGGAGTGGGTGTGCTGATCCGGGAAGCTCGCGGGTCCCACGGAAAAGCTGAAGGTGAGATATTTGCTCTCACTCCAAACCCGAGCTCCGGAGGGGAGGCTCGAGGGGTGGGAGAAAGGAGACCGTCCTCCCAGCGCTCGTGAGCCACTGGCGAAACGCACCGAATCTGCAAGCTAGAAAGCATAGCGTCCCAGACTGGCAGATTTCGGGCTGTCACATCTGGGGAAGTGAAAAGTGCCCTTTCATAATGTTTTCATGGCAGTAAAAAGTGCCGTTGGAAATGGGGCCCCGCCCTCCAGCGGGGAAAGAGCAAGTTCCCTCTTCTCCAGATGGCCTGTCCCAGGGGCGCTTCGCGGTCCGTTGCCGGACTTAGCGGCGTTCTGGGCAGGGGGGCTGCCTGCTTCCGAGGTGCCCGACGCGCTCGCTTCGCCGGAGGCGTGTGCGGGGGCGGAGCAGCTCTCGTAGGCGGGCGCCTTCGGCGAGGAGCAGGTATGAATGGCACGGCGGGCGGAGCGGGCTACGGACCGCCGATAAGACATCACCCACCAACTGCTCTCTCACCGCCTTGAATTCCTGGGTGAATTCACAGACAGTGTCGCCGAACCTGGCTGGGGATATGGGGAAGTCAAGAAAGCGGACTTTGTCGACTTTGCGCATATCAGCCAGGGGTGGCGCTCCTGGACCACTAATGTGGACATCGTCCTCCCCAACGCACACGCAGCGGACTCAGTAGTCCGAAGAGCTAAGTCGGCGGCGGTGCGAAGCTCGTAAGCCTGGGTTGGACCCACCCTCGTGCAGCTCGGCCAGCGCCTGCGCTTGGTAGCGCTGGTAGGTGGCTATCGCATGCAAGGCGGAAGCAGCCTGGCCCGCAGCTATGTAAGCTCTAGCTCCGAGGGAGGTAGATAACTTACAGGCTTTGGATGGGAGACGAGGCGGACCCCGCCAAGAAGAGGCGCCGCGCGGATTTACCGCCATCGCGCACTCAACCTGAGGAATCGCCACATACCCCCTGGCTGTTTCACCGTCAAGAGTGGTTAGGGTGGAGGAACACGCAGCACGAGCAGAAAAAAGTGCTTTACAAGACCGCGTGAGCCTACTGTGCACCTCCGGGAAGAAGGGAACGCCCCTCTAGTCGGTCCGGCCGCGGAGCTGGGGGATAAACCATCTCCAACCCACGGCCGAAGCAGCCCGGGAAAGCACGGCTAACATGTCCGTTTCAGGATCCGTAGTGACAGCGCTCACCAGCCCGAAGGGGGCGAGCGGGTCTGGATCATCATCGGACAATGAAAGCCCACCCTCCGATGCCGCGGTGGACATCTGGTCTCCGGTGTCATCGGGCGTAAGGGCTACCATCTGTTAGAGCAGGGGACAACTGGGGTGGTTCGCCCTTTTGCAAAGGCTAACCGCGATCTTGCGCAACAGTCATGGCATCGCAATGACGACATGAACTGCCCGCGAGCAGCGCATTAACATGCTGGACCCCCAGCCATGTAACGCAGTGCCCGCGCCCATCATCCGAGGACAGGAAACCACCGCATCCAGAAACGCACAGTCGGAGCGCCGTCCTGATAAGGACGTGCTGCACGACTGTGTTGCTCTTTCTGTGAAGTTTGCAACTTTATACGCACCGCTCTGGAGGACCGGACCCGAAGAACGCCAGGCAAGGGAAAAACCCAGCTCGACCGTCTGCCACTGCGTGTACACACTCTGGACCGGGAGAATGCTCTCGTTCGCTCAGAATCGCTGGTCACAGCAGGAGGAACCCTCATCGACTCGATCAGAAAGTCTCTGAAGCGAAAAGGATAGCGTCTGCTGGCGCCAGGTGAGCTTATATACTCAGTTGATTGCTTATGCCGCTCACCTGCGCAGGCTTGCGCTGCCAATTCATTCTTAATTGGCCCGTTCAATACTCTTTCAGACGAGTAGCTTCTGAACCGAACCTCCCAATGCGTGGATTTTACAATCAAATCCACTTATAGTGCTGAAGTTCCCCCCGAAGGGGAACAGCAACTCCAACAGCAGCTCTCACAACAACAACAACCCCCCCCCAAGCAACCCTCAAGACCACCTTTTCTGGTCTCCTATTGTGTACCTGACCTTCCGCTTCCTCCCGACCCCAGAAGTAAGGTTTTGGAAGCTTGAGGGAGAGCAGAACAGAGCAGCGCCTCCTAGTGGCACTTTGAGAAAATGGGAGAACATTTTATTCGCCACAAGGTGACCTCGAGATTATTGTTCTTTATTAATATTTATCAAAATTATAATTATTGTTATATTAGTAGCAAACACAATACATACTACAGTCTTCATGGAAATGAAAAGACAGATTTGACTCTCATCTGTCTCTGCTGTTGAATATATTTACAGTGAGCAGCTTTTTTTTTTTTGCAGCTGCATGTCTTGTTTTTTTCCCCCCCAGAAAGTGTTGCTTAAACTTGTCCCTGTAGTGAATGTTGTCAGACCAGAAAAACACAAACAGGTTTATACAGTTGAACAAGAAAGACTCCACCTGCAATCCTCTTCCTGATCTCACACTGACAAACTCAAACCTCTGGACACAAAGAAACTGCCACACACAGGTACAGTGTCACTTTATCTTGCAAAAACTTTATTTGTTTATTAAATGAAATATACATGATAAATGAACTATTGATGATAAATGTGATTAACTGTATGAACTGCGGCAACATCTGTGAGTTTCTCTTTCATTTTGGATATAATCACATCAAAAACAATTCACATTTGTACTTAGAGATTTTCTAAATTCTTTATGTACAGATGAAAGTCAAAGCTCGTGTTGTTCAGCACAGATTTGCTAAACTATAATTCTCAATGTATTCTTTACTGTCTGAAGAAGCAGAGCTCAGCTATTTAGTTTTGTGTCATTCAGCAGAGCTTATTGTCATCATGAGTGTGAGAAAGACAGAGATGTCAATAACTAAATATCCAGATGCACAGTTGAATCCAGAAGAAAAAAAAGCTTTAAAAGTTTTATTTCCAGCAGCTTTTCCAAGAAAGAACTAAAGCTAAATGAGTGTGTTTGTTCAATGACTCAATGAAGCTGAATCAGTGTGTTTGTTCAATGACTCAATGAAGCTGAATCAGTGTGTTTGTTCAATGACTCAATGAAGCTGAATCAGTGTGTTTGTTCAATGACTCAGTGAAGCTGAATCAGTGTGTTTGTTCAATGACTCAGTGAATCTGAATCAGTGTGTTTGTTCAATGACTCAGTGAATCTGAATCAGTGTGTTTGTTCAATGACTCAATGAAGCTAAATCAGTGTGTTTGTTCAATGACTCAATGAAGCTGAATCAGTGTGTTTGTTCAATGACTCAGTGAAGCTGAATCAGTGTGTTTGTTTAATGACTCAGTGAAGCTGAATCAGTGTGTTTGTTCAATGACTCAGTAAAGCTAAATCAGTGTGTTTGTTCAATGACTCAGTGAAGCTGAATCAGTGTGTTTGTTCAATGACTCAGTGAAGCTGAATCAGTGTGTTTGTTCAATGACTCAATGAAGCTGAATTAGTGTGTTTGTTCAATGACTCAGTGAAGCTGAATCAGTGTGTTTGTTCAATGACTCAGTGAAGCCGAATCAGTGTGTTTGTTCAATGACTCAGTGAAGCTAAATCAGTGTGTTTGTTCATTGACTCAGTGAATCTGAATCAGTGTGTTTGTTCAATGACTCAGTGAAGCTGAATCAGAGTGTTTGTTCAATGACTCAGTAAAGCTGAATCAGTGTGTTTGTTCAATGACTCAGTGAAGCTAAATCAGTGTGTTTGTTCAATGAATCAGTAAAGCTAAATCAGTGTGTTTGTTCAATGACTCAGTCAAGCTGAATCAGTGTGTTTGTTCAATGACTCAGTGAAGCTGAATCAGTGTGTTTGTTCAATGACTCAGTGAAGCTAAATAAGTGTGTTTGTTCAATGACTCAGTGAAGCTGAATCAGTTTGTTTGTTCATTGACTCAGTGAAGCTGAATCAGTGTGTTTGTTCAATGACTCAGTGAAGCTAAATAAGTGTGTTTGTTCAATGACTCAGTGAAGCTGAATCAGTGTGTTTGTTCAATGACTCAGTGAAGCTGAATCAGTGTGTTTGTTCAATGACTCAGTGAAGCTGAATCAGTGTGTTTGTTTAATGACTCAGTGAAGCTGAATCAGTGTGTTTGTTCAATGACTCAGTGAAGTTGAATTAGTGTGTTTGTTCATTGACTTAGTGAAGCTGATTCAGTGTGTTTGTTCAATGACTCAGTAAAGCTGAATCAGTGTGTTTGTTCAATGACTCAGTGAAGCTGAATCAGTGTGTTTGTTCAATGACTCAGTGAAGCTGAATCAGTGTGTTTGTTCATTGACTCAGTGAAGCTAAATAAGTGTGTTTGTTCAATGACTCAGTGAAGCTGAATCAGTTTGTTTGTTCATTGACTCAGTGAAGCTGAATCAGTGTGTTTGTTTAATGACTCAGTGAAGCTGAATCAGTGTGTTTGTTCAATGACTCAGTGAAGTTGAATTAGTGTGTTTGTTCATTGACTCAGTGAAGCTGATTCAGTGTGTTTGTTCAATGACTCAGTGAAGCTGAATCAGTGTGTTTGTTCATTGACTCAGTGAAGCTGAATCAGTGTGTTTGTTTAATGACTCAGTGAAGCTGAATCAGTGTGTTTGTTCAATGACTCAGTGAAGTTGAATTAGTGTGTTTGTTCATTGACTCAGTGAAGCTGATTCAGTGTGTTTGTTCAATGACTCAGTGAAGCTGAATCAGTTTGTTTGTTCATTGACTCAGTGAAGCTGAATCAGTGTGTTTGTTTAATGACTCAGTGAAGCTGAATCAGTGTGTTTGTTCAATGACTCAGTGAAGTTGAATTAGTGTGTTTGTTCATTGACTCAGTGAAGCTGATTCAGTGTGTTTGTTCAATGACTCAGTGAAGCTGAATCAGTGTGTTTGTTCAATGACTCAGTGAAGCCGAATCAGTGTGTTTGTTCAATGACTCAGTGAAGCTAAATCAGTGTGTTTGTTCATTGACTCAGTGAATCTGAATCAGTGTGTTTGTTCAATGACTCAGTGAAGCTGAATCAGAGTGTTTGTTCAATGACTCAGTAAAGCTGAATCAGTGTGTTTGTTCAATGACTCAGTGAAGCTAAATCAGTGTGTTTGTTCAATGAATCAGTAAAGCTAAATCAGTGTGTTTGTTCAATGACTCAGTCAAGCTGAATCAGTGTGTTTGTTCAATGACTCAGTGAAGCTGAATCAGTGTGTTTGTTCAATGACTCAGTGAAGCTAAATAAGTGTGTTTGTTCAATGACTCAGTGAAGCTGAATCAGTTTGTTTGTTCATTGACTCAGTGAAGCTGAATCAGTGTGTTTGTTCAATGACTCAGTGAAGCTAAATAAGTGTGTTTGTTCAATGACTCAGTGAAGCTGAATCAGTGTGTTTGTTCAATGACTCAGTGAAGCTGAATCAGTGTGTTTGTTCAATGACTCAGTGAATCTGAATCAGTGTGTTTGTTCAATGACTCAATGAAGCTAAATCAGTGTGTTTGTTCAATGACTCAATGAAGCTGAATCAGTGTGTTTGTTCAATGACTCAGTGAAGCTGAATCAGTGTGTTTGTTTAATGACTCAGTGAAGCTGAATCAGTGTGTTTGTTCAATGACTCAGTAAAGCTAAATCAGTGTGTTTGTTCAATGACTCAGTGAAGCTGAATCAGTGTGTTTGTTCAATGACTCAGTGAAGCTGAATCAGTGTGTTTGTTCAATGACTCAATGAAGCTGAATTAGTGTGTTTGTTCAATGACTCAGTGAAGCTGAATCAGTGTGTTTGTTCAATGACTCAGTGAAGCCGAATCAGTGTGTTTGTTCAATGACTCAGTGAAGCTAAATCAGTGTGTTTGTTCATTGACTCAGTGAATCTGAATCAGTGTGTTTGTTCAATGACTCAGTGAAGCTGAATCAGAGTGTTTGTTCAATGACTCAGTAAAGCTGAATCAGTGTGTTTGTTCAATGACTCAGTGAAGCTAAATCAGTGTGTTTGTTCAATGAATCAGTAAAGCTAAATCAGTGTGTTTGTTCAATGACTCAGTCAAGCTGAATCAGTGTGTTTGTTCAATGACTCAGTGAAGCTGAATCAGTGTGTTTGTTCAATGACTCAGTGAAGCTGAATCAGTGTGTTTGTTCATTGACTCAGTGAAGCTAAATAAGTGTGTTTGTTCAATGACTCAGTGAAGCTGAATCAGTTTGTTTGTTCATTGACTCAGTGAAGCTGAATCAGTGTGTTTGTTTAATGACTCAGTGAAGCTGAATCAGTGTGTTTGTTCAATGACTCAGTGAAGCTGAATCAGTGTGTTTGTTCAATGACTCAGTGAAGCTGAATCAGTGTGTTTGTTCAATGACTCAGTGAAGCTGAATCAGTGTGTTTGTTCAATGACTCAGTGAAGCTGAATCAGTGTGTTTGTTCAATGACTCAGTGAAGCTGAATCAGTGTGTTTGTTCAATGACTCAGTGAAGCTGAATCAGTGTGTTTGTTCAATGACTCAGTGAAGCTGAATCAGTGTGTTTGTTCAATGACTCAGTGAAGCTGAATCAGTGTGTTTGTTCAATGACTCAGTGAAGCTGAATCAGTGTGTTTGTTCAATGACTCAGTGAAGCTGAATCAGTGTGTTTGTTCAATGACTCAGTGAAGCTGAATCAGTGTGTTTGTTCAATGACTCAGTGAAGCTGAATCAGTGTGTTTGTTCAATGACTCAGTGAAGCTGAATCAGTGTGTTTGTTCAATGACTCAGTGAAGCTGAATCAGTGTGTTTGTTCAATGACTCAGTGAAGCTGAATCAGTGTGTTTGTTCAATGACTCAGTGAAGCTGAATCAGTGTGTTTGTTCAATGACTCAGTGAAGCTGAATCAGTGTGTTTGTTCAATGACTCAGTGAAGCTGAATCAGTGTGTTTGTTCAATGACTCAGTGAAGCCGAATCAGTGTGTTTGTTCAATGACTCAGTGAAGCTAAATCAGTGTGTTTGTTCATTGACTCAGTGAATCTGAATCAGTGTGTTTGTTCAATGACTCAGTGAAGCTGAATCAGAGTGTTTGTTCAATGACTCAGTAAAGCTGAATCAGTGTGTTTGTTCAATGACTCAGTGAAGCTAAATCAGTGTGTTTGTTCAATGAATCAGTAAAGCTAAATCAGTGTGTTTGTTCAATGACTCAGTCAAGCTGAATCAGTGTGTTTGTTCAATGACTCAGTGAAGCTGAATCAGTGTGTTTGTTCAATGACTCAGTGAAGCTAAATAAGTGTGTTTGTTCAATGACTCAGTGAAGCTGAATCAGTTTGTTTGTTCATTGACTCAGTGAAGCTGAATCAGTGTGTTTGTTCAATGACTCAGTGAAGCTAAATAAGTGTGTTTGTTCAATGACTCAGTGAAGCTGAATCAGTGTGTTTGTTCAATGACTCAGTGAAGCTGAATCAGTGTGTTTGTTCAATGACTCAGTGAAGCTGAATCAGTGTGTTTGTTTAATGACTCAGTGAAGCTGAATCAGTGTGTTTGTTCAATGACTCAGTGAAGTTGAATTAGTGTGTTTGTTCATTGACTTAGTGAAGCTGATTCAGTGTGTTTGTTCAATGACTCAGTAAAGCTGAATCAGTGTGTTTGTTCAATGACTCAGTGAAGCTGAATCAGTGTGTTTGTTCAATGACTCAGTGAAGCTGAATCAGTGTGTTTGTTCATTGACTCAGTGAAGCTAAATAAGTGTGTTTGTTCAATGACTCAGTGAAGCTGAATCAGTTTGTTTGTTCATTGACTCAGTGAAGCTGAATCAGTGTGTTTGTTTAATGACTCAGTGAAGCTGAATCAGTGTGTTTGTTCAATGACTCAGTGAAGTTGAATTAGTGTGTTTGTTCATTGACTCAGTGAAGCTGATTCAGTGTGTTTGTTCAATGACTCAGTGAAGCTGAATCAGTGTGTTTGTTCAATGACTCAGTAAAGCTGAATCAGTGTGTTTGTTCAATGACTCAGTGAAGCTGAATCAGTGTGTTTGTTTAATGACTCAGTGAAGCTGAATCAGTGTGTTTGTTCATTGACTCAGTGATGCTAAATAAGTGTGTTTGTTCAATGACTCAGTGAAGCTGAATCAGTTTGTTTGTTCATTGACTCAGTGAAGCTGAATCAGTGTGTTTGTTCAATGACTCAGTGAATCTGAATCAGTGTGTTTGTTGAATGACTTAGTAAAGCTGAATCAGTGTGTTTGTTCATTGACTCAGTGAAGCTGATTCAGTGTGTTTGTTCAATGACTCACAATGAAGCTGAATCAGTGTGTTTGTTCAATGACTCAGTGAAGCTGAATCAGTGTGTTTGTTTAATGACTCAGTGAAGCTAAATCAGTGTGTTTGTTCAATTACTCAGTGAAGCTAAATCAGTGTGTTTGTTCATTAGGTGCGTTCGACTTCATGCAACGCTGCGCAGATCGATCGAAATCTGTCTTTAAAGTGGTGCATGCTGGTTAGAAATCTTGGCCGGATTGATGCTGCGCCGACGCCTTATGACTGTCAAATGTGGCACCACGACAGCGCTCCGATATTACACGATTGGCCGAGTTCACCACATGACAACAAACACTTGTGTTTCAGGTTTATTATTGGACAAATTCAGATTCAAAGGTTTCAAAACAAAAAATTAACTTTTCATACCCTCTCTATCCTGTACACATCTTGCTTATTAAAAGACTACCAATATTTTACTGCAGTATCATCTTTTGTTAAATAATCTGGTTATAAAGGTTAGCTGGTTTGCACATGTAAGATTCCACCCACCGGTCATATCAAGTAGTCCAGTGTTGTGGTTGAAGGAATTTTGCGTGTATGCCTTTTCGGACGCTTCTGGAAAGAGTTATTTTATTTCATTAAAATTTATTGACCAATTTTATATCTGACTTCATGCGTGTTTTAATCTGACTCCAATTTCAATTTTATAAATTCATCATTTACGGTTTTAACTGATCATGTTATTGGTTGTGATTTAATTTAGAGTTTTGATATATTCTGGGGTCCGATATTCTAAATTGTACGTTCATTAGGGACCAACATCGCTCAGAGTTCCACACCCCGGGTTTGCGCTTCTTCTCGCAGACAATCTGTCAGCACTCTGAAAATAGTCAGAAGATATAGAATTAACTAATATTTAAATAGACTGGTTCCACAACGCTCACCTAATCCTAAATAAACAGATTTTAGCCAAGCCCATAAAACTTGCTGCTTCCAGTGGTGGAATGACTAAAAGGTCTACATGTTATAGGCTCTCTATGGCTACGAATCAATTCAATTTATGCCAATTTATGCCTATTAATCAATTCAATTTATGTCATACTATAAAGGTAACGAAGACTCCACGTAATCTACTGGATACAATGAATTCACAAAACTCCAGAATTAATCAAAAAGGGGTTAACATTTATTTTGCCAGGCAGGTAAAACAACACTTAAAAATGAATCAAAATTGAATACAAAACACAAGTGATCAACATAACATTTAAATGCAGATAAATGCAAATACAAATACAAAGTTAAAAATTAAAATTCATAAAGTCAGCATACCTGGCAAATAGGAGAGACACACAGAGGCTGTGTGGGAAGTCAGGCTACAGAAACTTCCCCAAGTATTTTGCCAAGATTCTTTAAGTACCCATTAACATCTGTGAAACAGTCATGAATATTTAGCACCCAAATATCTGACTCTGTTTTTAGAGTTAATTAACTTCAAAGAGTCTAACATTGGTTTGATGTGAGAAAGTTTATCAACCAATCTTTATTATGGACTGTCATTTTTAGGAGAGAGAAAACATTCACCAGTTTATCTTTAGATATCCATGAACATTTGTGAAGTAATCATGACTATCTACTCCTAAAAAACTCTGTCTCTGTTCTCAGAGTTAATTAACTTCAAAGGGTTACCCATTGTTTTGGGGTGAAATGAAGTTTGAAGACAGTTTACCAGTCACACCTGAATGATTATAATTAAAACAACACCAGTAAGGGAGAGGGATGCGGGTGAAAAGGACTGTTCTGATTGTATTCTCCAGTCCCCTCTTCCAGATTACAGAGTATTTATGGTTTTATTACAAGGGATAGTTATTTGAGTAAAATCCAGTCTTACACACAGGTTTATTTTCAACCTTTTTAAACAGAGTCTTAATTGCATTCAGCTCCACGAACAATTTAAATGATATATTTTAGTGAATACCCTAAATATGAACTCAAATAAGTCTTACAGACTTGAAATAAAATAATCATCATCACTGATCTGACGCCCTAAAGCTGTCAACAAATTAAGTTAAAGAACTATTTTATTAAATAATTATAAAATGATTTTATGATTATAATATAAATATATATTTTAATTTCCTGTCTTGCCGTTTATACCTGGTCTTTCCGGAAAACATCTAAAGTGTAGCTCACTTATTTTACCCTTTGTTCAATCTTTTTGGATTAAAGTGTTTTTTTGAAAATGCTATCATTACCCAAAATAATCTTATTTATTAGGACTTAATCAAAACACCTTGTTTTGGGCTTTACATTGGAAAGTTTTATATCTATAAATGTACATAAATATAAAACCCTTTTAGCATATTCAAACAAAAGTATTAGCCTAAAGAGTGATGTTTAAACTCCTAGAATTTGTGCTTATTGCTTTGTATTAGGCCTGTTCGTTTTTATGTTTATATTAACCCCTCATTTCCTCTTATTTCTCTCATGCATTTGTTATATATTTTATTCATAATTCTCCCTTACTGTTTAAAAAGGAACTATAGTTTGTAGAAACTGTATTCTGTTTTATTTGTAAATGTTTTGTTGTTATAAATAAAAATTAATAAAAAATTATGATAACGCCATGTGATTGGTCATCATGACTGCAGCAAATTTGAGCCCCGGGCTCAGTTTTCAACTTCGCCCCCGCATGCGCTCGGCTAATCTCGTTGATCACCGGCTGCAGCTGTGCTTCATGTTGAACGCACATACTGACTCAGTGAATCTAAATCAGTGTGTTTGTTCATTGACCCAGTGACTCTGAATCAGTGTGTTTGTTCATTGACTCAGTGAATCTGAATCAGTGTGTTTGTTCAATGACTCACAATGAAGCTGAATCAGTATAGCTGCGTCCCAAATGGCACACTATACACTATGCACTTATGCACTATGTACTTATGCACTTACACACTCAACAGGATTGTATATGTATGTAGTGGCGTCCCAAATGGCACACTAATGTGTTTTTACTAAACGGAAATTCTAACCGTTTCCCTGATGACGTTTGACGGTCGCCAAATCAGTGAAATAAACGACCGAATTATCAAATAATACCTGCCGTGAGTATTGCCGCATTCACCATCGGGAGGCGCTAAAATCACTCTCGTAGGAGAATTTTGCTTTCACCATCCAAAATAAATAAAGTTATTCAACATGTGCGTCTGATAGCTCCGCCCCTTCCGCTACGTAAGCAAATCTGCGGTCGTTGAGTGCGTGAAGTGTCCATCATTACACACTTCATTTTAGCGGCTGAATGAGTGCATCATCCGGGTAATTCAAGTGCTCTTATTATTTTTAGAGTTTTCAGTGTGAACACACTACTTACACTATTTATACTACAAAATGGCGTAGAATAGTGCATAAGTATGCGATTTGGGACGCAGCTTATATTTGTTCATTGACTCAGTGAAAATGAATCAGTGTGTTTGTTCATTGACCCAGTGACTCTGAATCAGTGTGTTTGTTCATTGACTCAGTGAATCTGAATCAGTGTGTTTGTTCATTGACTCACAATGAAGCTGAATCAGTGTATTTGTTCATTGACTCAGTGAATATGAATCAGTGTATTTGTTTATTGACCCAGTGAATATGAATCAGTGTGTTTGTTCATTGACTCACAGCAGGTGTGCAGCTCCACATGACACACAGTAGTCTGGAGTAAGGAACAGAGTCTCGGACAGAAGAATCTATTACAGGACAATGAACACACAAAAACAATGATCAACTGAAGACTGAAAAAAGAGATGAAGGAGAAAACACAACATCATCATGTCCGGGAGAGAAAGCAGAGGTAAAATCACACACAGATTAGTGAATCATCAAATCTGCCATCATTTAATCACCCTTGACTTGTTCCAAACAAGTTTTTTTTAACTAAAAGTAGATATTTAATAAAATGTTAGAAAGTTGTATCCACTAACATCTATAGTAGGAAAAAAACACCCTGAAAGTTAATGGTTAGATGTTTCCACCATTCTTCAAATGTAGATGCGGATAAATTAGCCTGCAAAATAAACATTATTAAAGAAAAATAGTAAAACATGTACACTTTTTATCTTTTAAAACTAATGTTGATTCCCTTTTACAGGTTCAGCTGAGAGTGAAGATGAACTGAGGATTGTTCTTCTGGGGAAAACTGGAGTTGGTAAAAGTTCAACAGGAAACACAATCTTAGGAAGAGATGCATTTAAAGCAGGCGCATCTACAGAATCTGTTACTGAAAAGAGTCAGAGAGAAACATCTGAAATCAATGGCAGACGCATCACTGTGATCGACACTCCAGGACTGTTTGATACTGAACTCAGTAATGAGGAGATACAGAGAGAAATCAGACACTGCATCTCCATGATTCTGCCTGGACCACATGTGTTCATCATCGTGCTCAGTATAGGACAGAGATTCACTGAAGAGAGTGAAACATCAGTGAAGATCATCCAAAAAATGTTTGGTCAAAATTCTTTAATGTTTATTATAGTGCTTTTTACCAGAGGAGATAATCTGAAGAATAAAACCCTTGATCAGTGTTTGGGTAAACCTGGATCTGTGGTCAGAAAACTGCTTGAAACTTGTGGAAACAGATTCCATGTGTTCAACAATAATCAGCCTGAAGACCGAACACAAGTGTCTGAACTACTGGAGAAGATAGACAACATGGTGAAGGCAAACGGAGGAAGCTTCTACTCATGTAAGATGTTCAGAGAGATGGAGAGAGAAAAACAACAACAGCAGATGAAGATCCTGATGGACAGAGTCAGAGAAATAGAAGGAGAGATAAAGAAACTAGAAGAAGAAAAAGACAGAATGAAGATGATGATGGAGGAGGAAAAACAACAGAATCAGGAGGAAGAATCAAAGAGAAGAGAAGAAGAACTAAAAAGACTAGAAAAACAAAAGCAGATTTTAGATGAACAGATTCAGAAATTAAAGAGTAAAATGGAGAGAATAATCATAGAGAGAGAGAAAAAAGAAAAAGAGATGCAAAAACAACTAGATTACTTTAAAAAGGGCCTGAGTGAAGAAAGAAAAAATAGAGAAGATCAACAAAAAACTTTTGAAGAGAAACTGAAACTCCTCGAAGAACAGCATGAAGATGAACTGAAGAGAAGTATGGAGTGGAGAGAGGAATATGACAAAGAGAAAGAGAAGATGATGAGGAAAATTCAGTCTGAAACTGATGATTCACTACAGGTGAGTGTTATTGTCAGTTTTGTTCTGTTAAAGAATAACTTTTACTGCTAATAATACTAACAATAATCATAATAGTAAAGCAGCTCTCAGACAGAAAAACAGTAAAGATCTCAAGGCTTTTTGTGTTGAATCCCATAAGGTTGCAGCCTACAGGAAACTGGAGACCGTATACACCGAGTGGTCCTGGAGTCTCCACAATGCCATGATGGAAATTGAGAACAAACTACACAACCAAATAGAAAATGAAGCAATTCATGAGGTTGAGAAGGCTGATCTTCACAGAGAACTGAAGACGACCAGTGAAGAAGTGGAAAAATCCATGTCAGAGTTCTTTGAGAAAGACACAGATAAATATTTACTGATTCAGTGGAAAACATCATTTGAAACCAAAATCGAGGAGCTTCAGAAGATCATTGTAAGAGAGACAAAGAGGAAATTAAGTGCAATTCTTCAGCAGCGAGACCAAAAGAAAATTATTGATTCTAGAAGGACACAACATGAAAACACTCTTTATGAAAAGTGCAAAGAACTGGCCTCCAAACTCAAAGAAAACTATGAAAAAACATTGAAGGAAAAGTTTGATTTGTTTTGGGAGGAAAATATAAAGGAGATCATCACAGACACTCCTTTAATTAAAGACATCGACATAATGAAAGATGTGAGAGAGATCTGTAAAAATGTTAATTTAAGTATTTCTGTAGATGACTGCAGGGAGAACAGGGATATATTTACAGTGAAGAGTTATTCAGATTATGTATTGTCAAATAAATCAAGTGGATTTACAGGAGGTTTACTAAAAGCTTTCATGTCTGCTATTGCGATGTTTCATTGTTACATCCAGTCTAAAGATGACAAAATCCAGATCAGATCATTAGTCTCAGATGTTGCTCATCAGACAGACAGAATGATTCAGTCATTTAACATTGCAAAGTTGGGCTACAACATCAGCCTCATTCAACAACTCATATATTACATCAGGGCTATGCTTAAAGAATACCAGGAAGGAGCAGTGAAATATGTGTTCAAGGATAAGTTCTTCATTGATTTGGTTTATTCAATCTGTAAAAGAGCAAACAAGACGATCACTGACCAACACAGTCTGTTTAGAGAAGACAATGATCCAGAAATATACCTAAAGAAGAAGAGAGAGGAATACCATATTATTTTCCAGAAATGCTGCGATGAAGCAAAACCAGCTGCCATTTTTGCTGAGATCATCTGTCAGAAACTGAAGGAGCCCATTGAGCAGAGCATCTACAAGAAAACTGCCAGAGATTTAGCAGATGAACTGAGATCAAACTGTGAATCACTGAATGGAAACAGATCAAATCTGGAGAAACACATCCTGAAGACACTGGCAGAAGAGGAGGACTTTGACAAATACATGAACTACATTGAACATCCCAGAAATCACTACAAGAGTTTCATCAGAGATGAAGTCAGTCGCTACATCAGAGATAAGTTCAGCATCAGTGTTTTACCCAAGATGGAGGAGAACATTAAACTCCTGCAGCAGAAGATCATGAACGCAGCACATCAATCTACTGAACATGTTCAACTCAACAGTGGAGATGTTGGTTTGTGGTTGAAGAGTTTCACACAGCAGCTCTCAGATCAGCTGATCTTCTCTGAAAAAGACCTCAGTGGAGTCAAACATGATGATGTTGATGATTTCAGACTCCTAGAAGATGTGATCAGACAAGAGCTTACAGCTGTAATGTCAGACATCAGCAGCAGATTCAACACAGACACATTTCCAGTAAAGCTGGACTATAAGTTCAGGCCAGAAGAGCTTCTGATTGATCACTTCTGTCAGTGCTGTTGGGTTCAGTGTCCATTCTGTGGAGCCACTTGCACAAACTCCACAGAGGACCATCATGAAGATCACAGTGCTCTTTTCCACAGAGTGAGAGGGATTGTTGGTCAACTTTACTCTCACACACAGAATCTCTGTGCTGATATTTGTACAAATGTAGTGGCAAGTGATCACACTTTTTCTGCACCAAATGGAAATGGAAGAGCTGGAAGAGTTTATGCAGACTGGAGCATCACTCCTGATCTCTCTGAACTGCCCTACTGGAAGTGGTTTGTGTACAGATTCAAGAAAGATCTGGAAAAATACTACAGTAAAACATTTGAGGAAAGCGGTGCGATTCAAGTTAAATGTAGAATATACCCAAAACACCATGCTATTACTAGTTTAGATCAATACATGTAATGAAGCAGAGAAGCACACACACACACAGCATTTTATTCGAAGATAACTTGTGTTTTTGGGTTTTCAGCAAGAGAAGATAGAAGATCTCTGTGGTTCTGTCTTCTTGTGTAAACAACAAATTATTATAGCAAGAATAAAGCACAACTGTCCACAATTCCTAACTGCAGTCTAACCCCTGAAATATTTATTTAGGTATAAACATCTCAGGAGGTTCAGATTCACTCCAGACAGAGTCAAACTAATGAACTGATTCAACTCACCTGCTTCAAACCATTTATTCTCTATTTAAAGAACAAAGTAAAACTTGTTCATAAAACAGATTTTGTTGGAAATTAATGAAAGGTATTTGAATAAAACAGACTTTGTAAACATGTGTTCTGCGCCACATCTGGATATGAATGTGATTATCTTTGAGCTTCATTAAAACACATGAACACTTGCAGTAACTCTCACCTGAACAAACTGTCATAAATTCATTCACACATTAAAATCAGTCAACATCACACCATTCCTGAAGCTTCTCCTCACTGTGTGAAAGTTGTAAATGTGATTAGAGAATAGATTATTATATTAACAATTAATATTAAACAAGACAAAGCATAAATAGACCTCACTTTAAACTGGTTCACAAAACTGCTAAAAGTTGTGTTAATAAACCATTTATTAACAAACAGAGCAACTCTTATTGTGCCTGAAAAATAAGACATATAAATGTTAAATTGAATAGTTTATTTATTATTAACTTAATTAATTCGGAATGATCTTTAAAAAACACAAACTACTCTTAAATAACTGGTTTGTAAATAATGCAATACTTAATTTAGTAGTGAAAAATGTATCATTAACAAAACACCAAAACACAATTATTGAACACATTATACAAATTGAGAATACAGCATTTGTTGTTGCCTTTATAAACCTCTTACTAACATCTATTATTGTAGAGTTAATGCTTAGCAAATTAATGCTTAAAAATGATTTCTAGTGTGCACTTTTAGTTATCATACATGTGTATATATTTTTTTTTTTGGGTGGGCGGAGATGGGGGTTTGAGGGGGGGGCAGAGCCTCACTATAATTGGTGATGCACATGAGGTGTGTAAAAAAGTAATTCAACACATTTAGTAGGTGGAGATAAATGAAAAGTGTTGACCTGCACAACTAAAATGAACAGAAACCATTGATTTTTATTAGACTTAAAATATACAGTTTTGTATAAGTTTCATGTGTTAAGCACAAATAAGTACCTAAAATTATTAAGCTAAAATAGAAAATAATAGCATGACATATGCAAGGTGGCCAGTTTAAAAAAACAAAAACAGGAACTATATAAAATTTACAACACAGGCTCATTCTGAAAACGTAGTCCCGCGGACGTTTCTGTAGACCGCGAGTTATGTAGCCAGAGGTGCATATAGCTGCATTTCATTTATTTAAGCGAATGCTGCAGGGCAGTATGACGCTGTTCCTTTTGGCGCATAATGACTGACCACTTACCTCCGTGTGGAGGGCTTTCCCGCCGCAACCAGTTTGTAGCGTGTCGTCTACGTCGGCGGACTTGAGATGCAGAGAGGAGTTGATCACGATGACCGGGTTCGAGTGTGTGGGAAGAGCGGTTCCAGAAATCAGGTAAGACAAAAAGAGAATCCAAAAAATAAAAACAAACATGTGAACAGAAGGGTGAGAATATGTTAAAATCTGAAAACATGGTACGAATCAGACGATGGCTTTTCTTTTTCTGGACTGATTTTGTAAACCGTCGGCTGGGTTTAGAGGAAGTGAGTGGGCGGATGGGTCAAATGGTAAAACTGGTTGGGTTTAGGGAAGGAGGAGGGTGGGTCCGTCGATTGGCCGGTCGCCCAGTAAATCATTCAGCCAGTCGACAGCGGCCTCTGATGGGTTCACGTGAGAACAGAGCGGGCGTGAACGGCACTCGTGAGAGACATTTGAGATATGAAAAAGCACACACAGCGGCCTCTCGCGGATTCACAAAGAACAAAAATTTAAAAAATACGTACCTCACAGGACGTATTTTGCGGTCTCCAGAAACGTCCACGGGACTACGTTTTCAAAATAAACCTGGGTTGAAAATTTACCTTGATGGACTGTTGTACAAATTATACAAATGGGGCATTTGATTACAAAATAAATGAACAGAAATACAGAAAACATTAAATAATGACATTTATCAGTACATGAACAAAAACAAAATGCACGATTGATAAAGCTTAGATGCTCAATAGACTGGAAATATTCATTTATTCATTTTCTTTTCGGCTTAGTCTCTTTATTAATCTGGGGTCGCCACAGCGGAATGAACCACCAACTTATCCAGCATATGTTTTACGCAGCGCATACCCTTCCAGCCGCAACCCATCTCTGGGAAACATCCATACACACTCATATACTACGGACAATTTAGCCTACCCAATTCAGCTGTAGCGCAAGTGTTTGGATTGTGGGGGAAACCGGGGCACCCGGAGGAAACCCACACGAACACGGGGAGAACATACAAACTCCACACGGAAACGCCAACTGACCCAGGCAAGGCTTGAACCATTTTTGCTGTGAGGCGACAGCACTACCTACTGCGCCACCGCATCGCTGAATGAAGAGATTACATTTTACAAATAAAATGTATGCTAAACATAAATAATTATTTCATACTTTTCAGCTTTTTTGTCAGAGGGAAGAATCTAAATTGTGAGTCTAGATTAAAAATGTATTTACTTGCATCATCTAAAACTCAGAATATTAAAAAAATTACAATTATGACATGTTTTTACATTTGATTAAAATATCCCACACAAAGCATGTTTCACATATATTCATTGAAAATTATTTTTGTGCTTTTTATTAAATTTGTAACTAAAGTCAAGATTACTTGAGAATTGAAATGCACTGATAAAAACAACACTGGACTGATGGAAACCAAACATCTGTTTTCAAAATACAAGAATGATTTGATAATAAACAAATTAATCAGACAATTATTCATTCATTTTCTTGTCGGCTTAGTCCCTTTATTAATCCGGGGTCGCCACAGCGGAATTAATCGCCAACTTATCCAGCAAGTTTTTACGCAGCGGATGCCCTTCTAGCCACAACCCATCTCTGAGAAACATCCACACACACACTCATACACTGCGGACAATTTAGCCTACCCAATTCACCTGTACCGCATGTCTTTGGACTGGGGGGGAAACCGGGGCACCCGGAGGAAACCCACGCGAAGGCAGGGAGAACATGAAAACTCCACACAGAAACCTCGGCCAACTTAGCCGAGGTTCGAATCAGCGACCCAGCGATCTTCTTGCTGTGAGGCGACAGCACTACCTACTGCACCCTTTCCTCGCCCCCAGACAATTATTGTATATACTATATATGTTGTTTTCACACAGCAGTCCTAAACGTACAAGAGTAAATAAAGACCCGGTGGTTTCAACAAGCACACTATTTTCTTATCAAAATTGCAATATGTCGTACAATTTGTGGTCTGAGACGTGGTCGTGAGAAGTGAAAAGAATGCAAAAACAGCTACAGTTTAGTTTAGCATCACCACCTAACAAAGCCAACATTGTGGTGACAAAGAATAAAAAAAAAGCTTACCTATGCAATTCTACGTGTGTGTGTGTGTGTGTGTGTGTGTATGTGCGTGTGTTGTTGACATGAAGTTACAGACTTGAAACCACATAAATACATTTTTTCTTCACAAATGGTGTTTTTTTTTAATGCTTAGGGGAGTGCGGGGCACAAAGTAACACGAGGTAAAATTTAACACCGAGTTTTATGGTATTTGCTCAGGGTTAATCATGGCATGCTTCCGAGGTTTTCACCACAGTGTCAGCAGACGTCTTCCTGACAATTATTTTAAAAGTTTGGCGAAATCTAGATGAGAAACACAGGAGAAACTAGTTTTGCAGCACAAATATATTTTTATTATAGTCAATATTTTTTATTTAAAAACAAATCTGTAAAAGTATGAATGTAAAGTCTTATATTGTTGTGATAACTGTCTTTTACACTAAAAGATGGAACTATTTTGAAAGATGTAAAAAACACATTGACTGCTAGCCAGTTGAGGAAAACCCGACGCAGCTGGGTTAGTTGTAACAGGGTGTTATAATTAAGCCACACACAGTTAGACACCAGTTAAACTAACCAGTGTTGGGGAGAATACTTTGTAAATGTATTTAGTTACAGAATACAGAATACCTGCTTCAAAATGTATTTTGTAACGTATTCTGTTACTTTGCTTAATCCTGGTACTGTATTCTAAATACTTGGAATACTTCCCCTTGAAAACAGCTTTCAAGTCTATTAAAGAAAAGAAAAACTTTAAAATAGTTTATGTAAAACCAAGGTAATGTAACAGGTTCTATCCAACATTTTAATTTCTATTTAAAAAACTTCTCACCTAAGAACAATATTGCAAATATTAGAAGAATTAAAAATGTGTTTGGACAGGAAAAAGTATATTTGGACAGGTGGTGTTCTCATTTCACAGAAAATGGTGTAACATCACCTGTTTAATTAATATTTCAAGAGTTCACACTTAGATATTGCTTGACAGCTGTAAGCAGGTTTGGCATGCTGTCCCGGGAGAGAACCCTGAGCTCGGAGATAGTTGAGCCCAGGGCTCCCACCAGGTCCATAGAGCATGTGAGGGGAGTACGAGATCAGGTGGTTCTCGAGAGCTCCCCAAATGCATGAAGCTCGGGACAGCAGCCGTGTATTCGAAGAAACTCCCCAAAAGGCTTGAAATGCTATATCCGGCTGCTGGATATAGTTATTTGAAAAAGAAAAGGTAAAGAGGGCTCCTTTGGAGCAAAGGGTGAAACAGGTTCCTGCGGGAACCCGAGCAGAGTTGGCTTGGGCTGTGAATACTCCTGCTGGAGTAGAGACTCGGGGAGACCCCTGCGGGGGTCAGAGCCATGGGGTGGGCGGGAATCCTGCTGGAGTCATTACAAGGGAAGGGGAGTGAAGGACTCCGGCTGGAGAGGGGGGTGAAGGGGGGCAGGGGGGGCGGGGACTCCAAAGGAGTAATTTGCTCGAGGAACACTCCTTGCGGAGATTGAGCTGGGAGGTGGCAGCACTATATATAATTATATATTTATATGATACATATAGATATATAAATATATAATGGGGTAATCTAGGGCCTTGGGGGGGCGTTTTTACTGACTCTTGCGAGAGTCGAAGCTCTTGGCTCTCCTGCGGGAGAGAGAGCTGTATGTGCCATCTCCAGCTGGAGTCGGGAAAAGGAATGGTCGGTGAAGCCCCAGCTGAAGGGGGAAATGGCGGTTGGGCGATGACCCCTGCGGGGGTCCGGTGCTCGGGATTAACTCCGCGGGAGTTAGAGCTTGAGGGTGACAGCACTATATATAAATATATATTTATATGCGTGGGTGCATATATATATACATATATATAAATAAATTTAAAAAATAAAAGATAAGTGTGAGAAATAAACAAAAATAAACATAAATAAAAGCTAGGGC